AGGTCGCGCTGTTCAAGGCTTCTGTTGGATGATCGACTCACAAAAACGTGCCATGTACGTCATAGGAGCCTACGGGTCAAATTGTCCGTGAGGAAAAAGCGTAGCCTTGATCAGGGATGTATGTTTATGCAGTGAAGAGACATTACATCCCTTACAGCAGTTGGCTGCAAAAACAAAACCGAAACTTGGACACGTTATTGGCTGATCCATGTTTGCAACTGTAGACTGTTCTAAAGATCTTATGAGGTTTGAAATGACTATACTCCTGTTTTTCAAATTTATAACTTATTTTATTTGTTTGTTTATTGTTTGCATATGTAGAATTGTCCTTGGAAATGCATAATGGAAAAGTTCGCTGTTAGCGGCAAGCGAAAACAATTGTTTTCCAGAAACCCCAATTGTCACCACGCGCGAAGCACCTGATTTGACAGCCTCAGGTTTCTCTTCGTTGTGCCGTCTAACAAAAATGCATACTCGTCACCAGAGCGCGAAACCGCGGTGAGTTAGAAAACAGTATTAGAAATGAAAAGATCCAGTTAACGCGAAAGTTATGGGGAGTGTCATCACTGGAGCAAACAGTGATTGATGGTGTACTCTTGAGGGGTGTCATTTTTCATAATTTGTATGATATTCGTGTGTATCAATAGTCATTTACATTTTTTGTTTCCAGTAAATATTTAAAATTATAAGGAGAACAATACCGAATAGGAACTTCTGAACCACCCTACACATAGAGCTGTCCTTTTTGAAAGCTGTTAATTGCCCAACTGGTTAAGAAATTGGACACCTTTCATGGAGCCTGAAAGTCCCTTATCATGCTCAGCGTTTCACTTATTATTACTATTATTATTATTCATAGTATAGTATAAGCAACAGTAGCACACATTGGATTAATTATCTATAATTTTCATCAAGGGAAATGTAACCTTAATTTTTCCAGCATTCAGTTTTGGCTCTGATTAATGCTTTACTCGATAAGAGGAAAATACAGTGAAACAACACAAACGAGTAGGCATATGGAACTCGAACCGGATACCATCCGGACGCTAGTGACACCCGGCGAAGCAGGCAGGTATCTACGCGTTGTAATGCTGCTGCAATCGTTATTATGAATGGCCTTTAGGCTGCTAAGTAAGACATGCTCCCGTTCGGTCCCATGTCCAAAAAAGGCGCAGGCCTTATTTTTTGTGATGTGGGCAAGTCTACACATTAATTAAAAGCAGGAAGCGTCGATCCGGCTGGAAGTGATAGGTAGCAGCTTTTCAGAGGAACGTACAGCCTCTCCCTGAAGATGGACTCAAAATGCGCCTGCGAAACATCAGTAAATATTAGTGAATACTGTCACGTGTAGGGTGGTACGGGTGACGTGTGTACAGTGCTGTTGCCTGGCAACGCGTTGATCAAATCCGTTACAATTCTGTGTCGTAAGTCTGAAGATCTCTAGTCTGTAAGATAATGCACCGGTTTTGCCGATATTACAGATCACTTAAGTATCCACTCAATTCTCCACATATTTTCAGTTTTTATACTAGTTTAGTAAAAACTAAAGTTCTCCCTGTGCTTAACTAATTAAGCACTACGCCATGAAGGCGTATGGGGGAGTGGATGTATAGAACCACGTATTCTTGACCTCGGTACTAGTTGGAGGTGAGAGGTGAGCTTCACGCCCTGGCCGCTTTATCCTGGGAGGTGGACTATAACCGGTTGTATAATCGGATGTTAGGGTAACAGATGTATGTTGAATGGGAGAGGATGTGAAAGGAGTCGATCGTGCACGAATCGAGGTAAACTCCCGGAATTTGCCTGTAGGGACTGAGAAAAATCAAGTAAATTCTCAGTGACGATATCTGTCCCAATCGAGATTTGAACTGGAAACCTCCCAAATAGGAGTCCAGAAGGAAGCCGCTACGTCACACAGTCGCCAGTGTGGCTGTACGAATTTTAAGCACACTTTCTTTGCGTTATTTTTGTACGGCAATGGCTCTGTTCTCATCTTTGCTATTATTGCTGCTGTTTCTCAAATAAGTGAGGATAAGGTGGGAGGAACGTGTAGCACGCATGAGTTAGATGAGATATGCATAAACACTTTAGTAAGAAGTTTTGACGGCAACAGACAAATTGGGAGACTTAGGCATAGATGGGAGGATAATTAAAATACGTCACATAGGATCAGAGTGTGAGGTTGTGGACCAGTTCCAGCTGACTCAGGATAGAGATTTCTGTCGGGCTGTTGTGAACACGGTAATGAACCGTTGGGTTCCTTACAAGGCGAGGAATTTCTTACCTAGTTGAGCGACTGTCAGCTTCCCGAGAGAGACTTGCTCGGGCGTGACCGTGTCAACTTGCACAGACCTGTCTGCTGAGGAGTGCTACTGTGTGATGGTGCCCGAGGGCCAGCCCTCGCACTGTGGCGAGGTGTGGAGTTCTCACGACGGTCACTGCTTCGGTCTGTGACGCCGTGAGAACTTGTTGCCACCATCTTGCGGATAAAAGATGGAATATTGAGGCTTTGGAAATTTCTTCCTAACTTCCCGGTGTCACATTCCAATAAACCATATACTTCACATAATCTTCGAATAGACATGAACTAGGAACTGAATGGAAAATTTATGGTACATAATGTGATGGAAGATAAATTGCTTAAAACAGAATGGTAACTATGTATACCACCAGCTCCAATATTAAGAAGCTCTGCATTCTGCACACACACTGTATCTGTGTGTTCCGTATGGTTCTCACAATAAACAGCAACTGTTTCCCTAAACAGAATTAACCGGTCGGGCTTTGTAGCGGAGACGTAATGCGTTTCCTGTGAGGTACGGACTGAACATTTAAATTAATTTTACGCTTGACTGGTTTGGCTTAGGGCGCTAGGGAAGGTTCCGAGTGTCCCTGCTGATCCGACCACCGTCTCACAGATATCCCTACATTTTCCTTTTCCGAGACCTGTATCGTCCTCACATTCTGTTAGCTGCACCCAGCGGGTGTTGAACTCAGTATTGTAATTGGGTTGCTTTAGCGATTCTTGCATGGCTTGGAATTGCGAGACGATTAGTGAACGGTCGGGAGGGAAGTCTGAGGGACCAGTGCGAAGCATCCGAGTTGGGACAGACGTGTCACCTCACCTTGGGTCTGCTGGGAATGCTAAGCTGATTGGTGGGCATTTCACACTGCAGTAAATCATGGGCTGTGTAACTAGTAATAGACTTAATGCCTCTACAGAGTTTAATGTTTATGGGCTATAAACGGTTCCAAGAACTCGCTTAAAGGCACGAGGTGAAAAGAGGACAGAGGTCCTTTGTGTGCTGAGCCCCTGCTGCAAGGAGCAGGGCCCTCCTTGAGAGCCGGAAATTATAATGACAGTCTGTCTTCTGGGATGTGACACCGCCTTTTCGGAGGAACGTAATGCTTCCATCTTCAGGACCAAAAAGTAAGCCAAGCGGAGTAATCTCTGATTGCTGGACCGTTGTTCGTCTTTGCATACTTGGTTTACTCTACGACCCTGAAGATACAGGCAGTGTGTTACTCCGAAACGTGAGGCGAAAGTAGTCTTGACAGTCAGTGGCTGGTCCAGCTTATTCACGTATTATAGACATTGAAATTCGTCTCTCTTGTGTAACCCGAAGGTTGTGTTCACAAGAGACCGTACCCTGAGCTGCTTGAATCCAATCCACATTGTCGCACGCTAGAACGATCCCGGCATGCCTCGTTCCAAATCTCATGCCAATTTTCCGTTGCTTAGCTCGGTCCAGAGATTCAGTCCGAGTCCGACTTCCCTTGTAACATTTTGGTGTTATGGGACGGGGTTGTTACCCCCCACGCAACCCCCACGTGTCAGCATATGTCAACATAACGGCGATACTGTGGCCTGTCCAGGTCGCGAAGCTATTCTGAGTGCGACAGACGGACCCTGTGGGGGGTGCGTGGCCGCATCCGGGCATTTGTTTACTGTTACTGTGGAAAGTGCATACCGTTGTTACGGTCCTCTTGAGGCGTACACAGTGACATTCCAAGCGACAAGGAACTTTCTTTGCCGTCTGAATAATATAAATTAAATTGTTTCGTAGTGGTTAAGGTACTATGCTACAAGCCGGAAGGTCGCGGGTTCAAGTCCCGATGAGGTCATTGGATTTTTTTCAATTGACCTAATCCTTCCGGCCGCACTAGGCCCTGGGGTGTACTCAGCCTCTAACAGAAATGAGTACCAGGAATAAATTAAATAATTTTCCTGGTTAGTGAAGCGCGGCCGGCGCGTAAGGCTGACAACCTTACCGCCATCTTTGAGCCGATTGTCAAGGTAATGTGGGAGCCTCAACGTCTCACAACCCTATGGGCCTTCACGGCCTCTTACAGGGATAGTTTTACTTTAATTGCCATGTGGAGAATTTTGTGTTCTCAGTGAACATATCCTGCATGCTCAAGTACATTTGCTCTGCCCTTGGCATACCCCTTGGTATGGGTACACAACTGTCTGCAGGCTTTACAGCAGTTTCTTGGGTGAGAAGATGACAGGTGTCTCTCACCTGTTATGTTCTTATTTGGTTCAATTTGTGCAAAGAACCATGTTATTGGCCCTGTGAAGCACAGTGGTATCTGTATATACCACCTGCTTTGACATTAAATAAACTCTTCATTCTGCCCACACAGTGTATCTGTGTGTTCCGTATGGTTCTCACAGTAAACAGCGACTGTTTCCCTAAACAGCATTAACCGGTTGGGCTGTGGTTCCTGTGAGGTACGGACTGGTCCAGCGTGTCTCCCTCACAACAAATGGTTTTGCTCAATGTGATGAAACAAAAAAGGGAATGCCGCTGCGTCGGAAACAAAGCAACACACGACGATGTTTTTATCTCCAGGTTTTATTCAAACACTCTAAGAATTTGCCTGCGTCACGTCCCGTGCTCGTGAGATGTTCCGATGTTGAAATTGAAGTGGTTCTTGAGGAGGGACTTGGTAGCGGAGGTGGGGGAGACAGTTGGCAAGGTGAGGTGGACGTGTGTGTGGTAACAACGGCCAGACCTCAGCATGGTGTCGTATAGATGAGGCTCCATCCTCGTGCGTTCCAGTGGCTAGCGTACTGATTGCATACCTCGGGAGGCAGGGACCAACTGGCACCGTCGCCATCATTGGAACAGATTTCACAGTATCTGGCCTTGCGTGTGTGTGTGTGTGTGTGTGTGCCATCTGAAGAAGTTTACGTTTAACTGCTTGATTTGTTTGTTTTCGTTTTGCCTAAGTTATGTGAGGAGAGTTTTGTAATAGCCGCTGCCACTTCATAGCAAGGAGAAAGCTGTTTCTCCACACCACGCAATATTACTGTGAGCAGCAGACCTGGGCGCTCGCGCTGTCAGTATCCACACCAACTCTGACTCTACAAAGAAATGAGTGTACTGCAGTGTAATGAAAACCATTAGGATTGCTCTCTGTTCTGCGGCTTGACGGTGACTGATCAGTGTTTCAGAGACCTGCTGATTAGTGCTAACTTTTGTTCTGCAGAATTAACAGTGTTACACATTGAAGGTCTGTGATCTGTGGATAACCAGAGAATGTGCCAGTTGTTGAAATTCTGACTCCTGCCTCCGTAAGTTCTGTTCGCTGAAACCATCAAGACGAAGGGCACATCGCCACTATGCTGCTAACGTAAGTCTATAAGCTGCACTGATTCACGTTAATGAGGCAAACAAACAGAGGCCGCTTGCAGGCTAATCACAATTCATACGGTCCTATCACAGCCACTAGGAGACCCGGATCGTCTTGGTGCCAAACATATTTAAACGATAAATATTGCGGTCCGCCGGGATGTGACATCGTGTAGTGTGGTAAACAGGTACCGACGTTTCAAAGGAACTATCTGCCTCCATCTTAAGGGTAGAAGAGTATCCTGAAGATGGAAGAAGCAGAAGCTGCAAAACTACACGGCGTCACATCCCATAGCCTCCCCCACACTGTAAAATGTTCTATAGCAGAAACTGCTGACATGTCTGGTTTGCGTGCCATCCCCACGGATGTGTACTCCAGTCAGCATGTCACGTAACCAGTTTAGTCATAAGAAAATAAATATCTTCTGGGATATAGTTGCCTACCAGACTACACGGCGCCATTTCTCAGAACACGTACTGTTCATAGTCATCGTGGTGAGGACCGTAAACCCCACATTTAAATTGAAAGACTTAAACAGTTAGGAAATACATACACAACGTAATGATTCCAGCGCGTTTTGTTTCTGTCGGAAATTGGGCCCTTCCACGTATGTAAAGTGCCACGTCTGTTTCGGCGATGTTTGTGAAATTTGTGAAATTCTTGCAAGGACTTAGAAAGTGAAATTTCAATCAGAACCAACTTCGGGGATCCCGACTTGCGACACCATAAGTATGCATTCTGATTGTGTCGGGAAATCTGTCTGTCTGTCTGTTATTATCATTATTATTACTATTATTGGAAGCTTTTCCAGTTTCGTGGTCCTATACACAGTCGGTAGGACTCCTTGGGCGGGGGATCAGCCCGCTCTAAGACCTCTACCTACACACAGACATCCATGCGTTAAGTAAGATTCGAACCCAAGAGCGAAGACATTTCATGCCACTTTGATCGGCAGTTTGTCTGTCTGTACTGGACATAAAACGTGTGCTGAAGTTCTGGCAACAACTTTCATGCGAAGCTCGCTGCAATAGGCAGAGCTCTACAACTGTGAGTGTGTGTCTCAAATGTCAAATTTGAATGGAAGTCAGTCCAGCGATTCTCCCTGCTACACGCGGAAAGAGCGACAGACATGACAAAGCCCCTAGGCGCACGTCCGCAGCTCTCTCTATCTTACTGCAGTATCACGGTCTTTTGGGTTGTGACACCGTATAGTCTGGTAAGTGGTTACAAACGTTTCGGAGGAACCTGCTGCCGTCATGTTGTGTCCTTACACGGAGACAGCCTCTCTCCTCCGACTCATAGCCGGCCAGTGAGGATTTTGTTGCCATGGCGACGGCTCTGCCCAAGAGGACATTGGCAAGTGTCACGTTAGTGCGGCTGCACTTGCGGAGCGAAACAACTTTCGCTTTTCTTGAGACACATGGCCACGGCGGGAGGGGCTACTTACAGTGTTTGTCTGCAGAGGTAGCATACACATAGGTTGCTTTCTTGTTTGGCTCACTCTTCGACCCTGAAGATGAAAGCGATGTGTTCCTCCGAAACGTCTCTTAACGGCCTACTAGGCGTTACATTCCAAACCCTCAAATCCAGCAGACAGTAGATTGTCAGGACAAGGACAGAGTTAGACGGACGTCACGTAAAGAATGCTATTTCTGCAGTGCATCCTTCCGTGTTACGCCACCGTGTAGTCTGGTAGGTAAGTGCAAACGTTGCCGGGACACGTCGAGAATGGACGTGCTATGTTATTACTGTCCTGCCAGACTACACGGTGTACGAAGCGTTGCAAGTGACTTCACTGCACCATGCGGACGTAACGCTGTTGGGTTCGAACAAAAGAGGGCGTCCGTTGATTATGAAGTGAATGACTTGTTCTCCCCCTCAGTTACTCTTACCGTCCCTTCTGCCAGAATAACTATTAACTCCCGCATCCTCACAGCCCAGGCGGTTAGTCGCCGACTTCCAGCCGCGGCGGCCCGGGTTCAAGTCCAAGTCAGGTCTTGTGGGATTTGTGGTGCACAAAGTGACACTGGGGCAGGTTTTCTCCCAGTACTTCGGTTTTCCCTGCCAATTCTCATTCCACTGACTGCTCCACATTCATCATCACCTATCATCTGGGGCTGGTACAATAGGCCAAATTGTGGCCGACGTACCAAATGGACTCAGTTTCACCCCACTAAGTAACTATACTGAAGCCGGATGAATCCAGGCCACGTCTCACATGCAGCTTAATTAAACAAATTGCACTTGCATGCCCTCCATATGCCTGCACAGAGGCGCGATATTGCCTTTCTATGCGGAAGGTGCTGTTGGTTTCTGGTAGCTTGTTGGACGCGTTAAGTGCGTTACGCAACAAGGCGAACTGAAGTGGGCCGCAGTGCTGACCAGATCGGCTACAGAAGAGAAACTGTTCGGTGTAGGGTTGCCGTCTTGCTTGCACTCACGTGCTTCTGGCTTTGGCGATTTTAAAGTGTTCTCAAACTGGAAAGTTTTACATGACTGCACACGTCTGCGCGCGCATCTCGAGAGTATCTAGCTCAGTATTATCGGAAAGAAAACTGTTTGATGCAGAATGTAATCAAGTGGGGGGGGTGGAGTTCAGCTGGGTCCACTCGGCACGGAGGCCACTGATTGGCCTATTGTACCTGCCCCGGGTGATTATGATAATGGAGAATTTGGCTGAATGAAGATGGGCAGGGGAGACCGAAGTGCTCGGAGAAAACCCGCCCCAGGGCCACTTTGTCCACCACAAATCCCACTTGACCAGACCCGGGATCGAACCCAGGGCCGCCGCGGTGGGAAGCCAGCGACTAACCGCTTGAGCTATGGCGCGGCCCTGCTTAAAGGTTATACCAGGCAGTGCAGTGCTTGCGATGCTGACAACGTTAGTTACACGATATGCTAAGCTTTGTAGTTAGTTGCAGTGGACAGGTGACTTATTCAGTGCAAACAGTACCAATACACATGGGTCTATGTATGCAGTATATATATCCTTTTAGTTTATCTTTAAAATATAGTGGTAACTTTAGGTACCACCTGGTTTAACATTACAGATGTCCTTCATTCTGCCCACAGAGTGTATCTACTCGTATGTGTTCCGTATGGTTCTCACAGTAAACAGCGACTGTTTCCCTAAACAGCATTAACCGGTTGGGCTTTGTAGCGGAGACGGAGTGTGTTTCCTGTGAGGTACGGACTGAATTGCTATATATTCTGTCCACACAGTGCATCTGTGTGTTCCGTACGGTTCTCACAATAAACAGCGACTGTTTCCCTAAACAGCATTAACCGGTTGGGCTTTGTAGCGGAGACGGAGTGTGTTTTCTGTACGGTACGGACCGAACATTTCTGTCTTCTTCATCAGTAATCTGTCAAGACGACAGGTCCACAGTCTCTTTCAAAACAATTCCTCCACTTAATGCGATCTAGAGCTTTCCCCTTCAAATGACAGTATCCTCTTCTGTCCCCAAGGTCATCCAGCATCTTCTTACGTCTTCTTCCTCGTCTTCTTGTCACTTCTATCCGCCCATCTATCTTTCCTTCGATAGCTTCTTTTAGAAGGCAGTTTCTGCGTAAAACATGACCAATCCAATTAGCCTTCCGTTTTCTTATTTCATGTAGGATATTCCTCTGCTCACTGACTCTAATTAACACTTCTTCATTTCTCACATAATCGGTCCAACTGATCTTCTCCATTCTTCTCCAACACCACATTTCGAAACTTTCCAGATGTTTCTGATCTACTGCCCTAAGTGTCCATGTTTCAGCCCCATACAGAGCTATGCTCCAAATGTAGCATTTCACTAGTTTCTTCCTCAAATTTAAGTCCAATTTGCTGGAAAAAGATTCTTCTTCTTGCTAAATGCAGCTTTTGCCATGGCAATCCTGGATTTAATTTCACAAGTACACCTTCCATCATCTGTTAACAAGCTACCCAAATATTTAAAACATTTCAAATTCTCCACTTGTTTTTGGTCTATCTTTATTGTGACTGTACTGTCACTGTACTGTACTCGACAGTACATTTCTGTACTGTCGAGTAAATCGGGGCAGTGTTTGAGGACCGAGGATAACAAGTTGTAATGCAGAAAAGGCCACGCGCGGTACCGGATTGCCTCTGAATGCTGGTCCGGGGGAAAGCAAAGGGGGTCGCTGATTTCCGTTCGTTGTTCAGCTTTCTGACCTTGTTAGGCCGGTGAGCTGTTTCTTCTGTGACACGGTCAGATGAAAGTAGTCTGTGGGGGAATAGGCGTAGGTGATCCCACACCAACGAGAGGTGTGTTGACTTCATTTGCAAAGCCGAGCGTCATGTAGATGGGGGGGCGATCACAAAAGCATGGGCAACTAAATATTGTTGCCGTTCCCTTGAGGCAGGGACTTTGGTATGGCGTTCTGAATTCGCGGCGGAATGAGATTATGTTCCAGAGTTCTGAAACGGCTCCCGTAGATATACCTGGCTTCCTGGCGAATTTAGTTGCCCTTGTCACGACGCTGAGAAAGTGGGATGCATGTCATGCATCGCTGTAACGTTCAGTCGAGGTACTGTCCCGCACGAATGTCTAGTAATATGCTTGCCCACAAATGTATCAAGATCTTAAGAGTATGGACATTTGAAAACCAGTTAACCATTTTGAAGACTGTTAAAATCACGTTGGGAGCCGAGATAGCTCAGTCGGTATAGCGACTGGCTACGGGTTGAACGACCGAGGAGTCAGAGTTGGAGTCCCAGTAGGGTCAAGAATTTTCTCTTCTCCACAGCGTCCAGACCGGCCCTGGGGTCCACCCAGCCTCCTATCCAGTGGGTACCAGGGACTTTTTCCCTGAGGGTAAAGCAGCCTGGGCGTGAAGCTGACCATTCACCTCCAACTAGTACCGAGGTTGAGAAAACTTGGATCTATAAATCGACTCCCACATACGTCTTCATGGCTTAATTGGTTAAGCACAGGGACAACTTCACTTACTTATTTTTACAAAATCACAGTACGACCGACCGTCAGTCGACC